GTAGCTATAAGAGGGGGAAACTTGGTCAGCTGGGGGGGGATAGCTCTAATTTCAAGACCGATGTCGTCATCAACTTGGTAGGCCGGGTAGTTCTTTACCTGTGGTTGGTGAGGTTAACTACAGTCTCCTCACACTCATTGCCAATGAATTCCACCTCGTACTCGGCCGTCAGTACGGTCTTGGCATCACCCTCCTTGCTGGCGGTGTACCACACGCGCACCTCGACGGTACCGGGATACCCCTCCTCGCCATCTCTGCAGAGGTACTTGAACAGCAAGGCGTCGTGGCCATTGCGCTGGACGGTGTGCGGACCGTCAAAGACGCGCTTACCCCAACCCTTCTCACCACCGTGCAGGGCATTGGGACCGTTGTTCTGGGCCAACTGAATCTTCTGGCCATTCAGATCCTGAATCAGACCATCCTTTATGCGGTTTGCAACACGGCCGATGGTGGCACCGTAGTGCGGGGAGTTGTGTTTGACATAGTCCTCTTGAGTGGGGAAACCTAGAACGATGTTCTTGCCTCCGACGCGGAACTCTTGGATGATGGCACCCAAAGGCAGGAAGGTGAATTCAGCTAGTTCGGGGGCGGACATGATGAGCTTTTGTTTTATTTTTCGTTCAAAGGGGAGATGGTGGGGGAAAGAAAGAAGTTCTCTCTCATTTTTAGGGTCGACATGACGTTACAACCCCGCAATTTGCGGGATCCATCACCGACAACATGACACCTTTCAATTTTTTTTGTTTGTTTAGCATAAATCCTGATATTCAAGGCTGTTAAGAGGTGTTGCTTGTCCTGAGAGGGGTGGGTTTTTAAGGTCATTAGGCTAAAAAGGAATTAACCGGTTTGAATTAGGGTAAAGTCCAACTCGTGACTTCTCGTAATCCATATAAACCTCCAGGGCTAGAGCCCTTGGAAGGCCTCAACCTATATAACCTCAATCATCAGTAAAAGGTAATATTGTTGTATCGAAAGCTTGTATTTTCCAATCAAAGAGCTCAAGGTTTCCTCCGTACACGGAACTATAATATAACGCATAAAGCGGACATAACATATCGGCGTTACCAGCATCCGGTCGGAGGGAACGAAGTCCGGCGTCCGAATGGATCTCTATGTATACCCCGGACTCGTGTTGGCCCATTTTTGAAAAAAAAAGGAGATATGCCAAGGTCTAAGCATTAATAATGGGCAGGTACATACATGATACGGAGTAACCTTGGAAAGGATTGGCATTGGATTGGCAATTATATTAGGCAGGCATTTTTCCTACTAGACTAGTAAAGTTGGCCCCAAAGCAGGTTTGGCGATAAACTGGGGGCTGTGTCAGGGTTCAACATCACCGAATACGAATACATATACATGTACGAAGTACGGAGTAGTTTAGAAGATATCTATGTTAGAAAAGATAGAAGTATCTCGGAGCATTTGACCGGTAAGGGTAAGTCGGGAATTCGGCGACTTTGAATCACTAGGGCTTATAAAATCGTCTCACGTAAGCAAAGGAAATTAGCAAAAATCGCTCAATGTGGAGAACGGAGTCAAGAAAGTACCCGCTGAGTCAGAAGATCAATAATCAAGCCCTGGAGGGACTTTTAGGACACTTTCTTAAGAAATTTTTTTTTTTAAACTCCTTGGAGTCTCCCGAATTATTCCCGTTTTGTCTCATTAATGAACCCTCTAGGTGGAGTACGGCATCTTCCTCCGGTCTCTCAAGATCTTTTCGATCTTCTAGAACGCGTACCTGGTGAGAGCTATAGAGTATGAGATCATTTCCCGTTTCGGATGTTGTAACGGTGACATGAACTTCAATTGTAAATTAGAAGAGAATAGACGCCTCCTTGAAACCTCCGTTTTAGAACTCCCCAAGACAAAAAAAAATAAGAAAAAAAAAATAGAAGTAATAAACCAAAACTCCAAATCCCTGAAATCCCGAAACCCGGCTTAACTGTACAGAGGTAATTAGGATCCCAATTGCGCCTGAATCCAGTCAGAACTTGCGGGGGAAAATAGCCCCAGAAGAGAAGAGAGAGAAAAGAGAAGGGGGGGGGAGGCAGAACATGTATAGTATACATGCATCACGTCATACGGCGTTAAAAAAAAAAAAAAAAGTCGAAAAGGTAACCCTTGAAAAAAACAAGGGCTCAGATCGAAGTGATCTCGGTAGGATTTGGATTGAGGAACTGATTGAAATCCTCATAGTCGTTCTTGGAATCAAGATATGACCCTTGAGACAAGCAGTTCATGGGCACCTGGCGATTGAACATAGGTGATGATAGTTGCTGGTCGTCAAAGGACATATTGGAGTAATCCGCAGTGGACATCAAATCCATGTCATCGAAAGGATTGAACCCGTTACTAGGCCACTGTTGCGGGCCCTGCAATGCCAATGGGTTGACCACGCCCTGCATGGACATGGGTTGGGCGAATTGCGGGGTGTTGGGCATCTGAGGCTGTGGCTGAGGCTGAGGTTGCTCGGTCTTGATGTGCGCACGTGTCGAGGGACTGTATGTTGGCGGCGTGGGCGGCATGTGCTGCTGGGAGAAAGCATCGGAAGAGAAGCGCGAGCGAGGGACTGGTGACTGGGGGCTATCAGAACCACCGTCGGAGGATTCCTGGCGTTGCATGCCGGCGTTGGTGTGCCATAGATCCTGCTGTAGAGCCTCGGGGTTTTCTTCGAAGCGCTCACCCTTGGAGCCATCAAGAGCGCCGAGGCGCATGAGCAGGTCGTGAGTAAGTGGGTGGCCGTTGGGTTCGAGTTTCAGCTGCTCGCCAGGCCAGCCTTCGCCTTCGATGTTACGTCGGTATAGTTCCTGGAGACCGTGGACAAGCCAAGATTGTTGTTGTTCGAGCATCTCAACATATCTATAGAAGGAGAATAGCTGGTCAGTGGAGTTCTTGTAGGGTTTGAATATAACTATTTAGCTTACCCCTTCGGGTACACTTTATCATGCGCCTTCTTACGCTCTCCAAAGACACAGATGGCATTATCTGCACGACAACGGGAACAAGGACTGGATCCATCACACTGTCCGGATGGTCAGTGTATGTTGGGGGCGATTGCTTGTCCTTGTCCTTTTTCTTTTTCTTCTTCTTCTTTTTTTTTGGTTGTTATACATACCTTGGATTTCTTCAAACGGCACCGATCGCATGCTTTGCATACTCTTTTGCGGACATTGCTATCCGAATGCGAGTGCTCCGATGTTGGTGTTGATTGGCGAGCAGCCATTGTGAAGTCGAAAGATGTGATGGAATAAAAAGAAAAGAGAGGAGATGATAGGGGAATTTGGCCCTTAGCTATACTTTCAGATCCAAGGGTCGACGTCAAAGATCAATGATATAATGATGTTAACAGATCATTTAAAAGTAAATTGAGTTCAAATAAAGCAGACGGATGCAGATAGGAAATCTTTGGAATCCGTGGGTATAGGAAGGTTAAAAGAAGTATGGATAGTAGGAGAAGTAATAGAGTAATATATAAGTAGAAAAAAAAGGTAACTTGCAAGGTCACCATGGGAGAGTAGATGTGCATATATAGGAATCAAAAAAAGAGGGGGCTTTCTTGTTTAGGATTATATATAAAATATAAAATATATATATATAATATTATTTAGAGTGTCATGGATTATACATGTACGGAGTACGGAGTAGAGTTGAGAGCATAAAGGGATCGGATCGAAGATCATAAAATCCAATACAAATCCAATACACCATGAAAAATACAGGATGACTCGGCATTTACTGACGGAGTTCGGAGACTTTAAACCTGACGTATATCCGAGTGGACTGTACTTCCAGCCACACATATATTTTATGTTTTATATTTTATTTTATTTCTGGGTACTTTGTATAAAGAATATATATAATCATAATCTGGAAGGAAATAGAATTAGAATATATAGTATTAAGATTGGTAGAATTGTATAATCTTCTAAGTAGTATACTAGAATACATAAAATATGAATATTCTTGGCATAAGCATAACCCTAAGGGTATAAAAGGAAAATAAAAATCGGCAAGCCCATGCCGAATTGCATGTTGCACCCGAGAGACTTCATTATATTATGTATTCCGAGGATGAATTCCGAGGTATAAGTCAAAAATGTAATACTATAGTTATCTACTACTACTACTACTACTACTACTACTACTACTAACTATTAACTAACTAGTTATACGGAGTACTATAACATAGTTATTAATCAAAATCTATTAACTAACCAGTTAGTCAACACTGAGATAGGTTACAAATAATTAGTGTAAAAAAAGAAAAAAGAAAAAAGAAAAAGAAAAGGTCATGATCATTTCAAAGCATCGTGATTCATTAAACAGGTCTAATCAGGGTCATTACCAATTAAAGCAATTAAAGCAACCCAGTCAATGTGTTGTAAAAAAAAAAGTCCATGACGTGACCATATTCTCCCTAATATGGAACTATCTCCCTTTCGATATATACTACTTTATTACTGCTTTATTGTATTATAACTATTATAACTACATTTATTATATTGTGATTAAAAGGGCTAGACCACTCTTTCTAGAATATATCCTGTTTCTCTTTCCTCCAGGGCTTTTTCCTCGGCTGACATCCCGTGCAGTTCACCTAAAAGCTTAGCTAAATACTTACTGCATTTGGAAATATGCGACGAAAGTCTTATTAAATCCTATCAAGTCCATATCAAGTCATATCAAGTCATATCAAGTCATATCAAGTCATATCAAGTCATATCAAGTCATATAAAGTCCATATCGAGTCATATCACCTCCAATTCAACTCAAACCCAACCAACCGTGGGAACTCTATTAAGCAACCCCCGTAATATGAAATCGCGCGGAGACGCATTCCGACTCCATTCACCCCGAAGGTGGGCTTGCTTCTGGCCATGTTTTCTCTACATGTTCCCGAGTCAACACCATTTACGGAGTACATAGACATTATTGCCCGGATATCTATATCTATATATACTTGACTGGGGCATAGTCTACATTTATAATGTACAGACTTATGATCTATCAACAAGAAGAGTAAAAGCACTAGAGTTGACAGAGTCAGCAATCTCGACAGCACTTTTCACGGGGTTCCTTGTGTTTTGTTTTGTTTTGTTTTTTTTTTTTTTTGGTTCTGTTTTGGATTTCACTCTGTTCCTGACCCTGTTTGCCGTTTGGTTCCGTTGTCTTCCGGTGTTTGATAAACACCCACGCGCGACTTCGACGGGGTCAGATCTTGCCTGCACTTACGTCTACAGTGGTTGGTAGGGTAGTATGCGCCGATTCCTCGGCGCATCGGGGCATTGGGGCATTGGAAAGGAAGCGCACCGTGTTTGCTTTAGAGTCGGGCTTCAACAATGCGACGGACTAGGTCTATCTAGTTATTAGCTCTACTCTCCCTTCCTTCCCGACAGACATATTATACGGGTAAAGGTACCCTCAATGTTGACTGTCTCGTGAGCGCTGGTCTCCATAAACCCGCAACCGTGCTTGCGCGCATACTCGAGTCTGTCACGAGATGTCACCACACGATCATCATTGAGATCGCATTTGTTGCCCGTGACGATTTTGATTGGCGGTGGTACGAAAATATGGCCTACATCTCCAGATTTCTTTCCCAACTCCCGGAGTTGCTGGTCGCTCTCAACGCGTTGGTCTGTCCCCATATGAATCATATCCATAAAATAATCTAGCGGTTCAACACTCGAGGGGTTGGTGATATCATAAACAAGGAGGAAGGCATCCGAATTCAGGGTCGAGATACTCCATAGTCCACGGTACTCCTCCTGGCCTGCAGTGTTGGTGATAGAAAGGACGTAGGGGTGACCATCAACATTGCGGGTGACGGTGTAGGAATCCTCTGGGCCCGATTAGAATTGGGAATGATACATATCGATCGGAATGGGCGCAATACCGATAGTGGGAATATCTACATATAGAAATGAGAAATTAGCATAGTTTTTCCAAAGTTCAAGGGGAAGGCCTTACTCGTGAACCCATCGACTACGGGCCAACCGCATGATGGAGGATTTGCCTGAGTCCCGATCTGATCAGATCTCGATCGCGAAACCCGGAAACGTGGCACCGAATCACGGCGTCAGGATAATCCCAGGAGATAATAGAAGGTTGTAACATACCGCATCCACCATCTCCGCAGATGGTGATTGAGATCTTGTCCATGGCCAGTGGACATCGGAGAGGGGTGATGAGGGGAAATACGAGTGACAGGGGGTTTATTTGATATAAAATAACACTGAAGTATGTATACCTGTACAGAGGAATGGAGTTGCCTTTATTTTATTAGTTGATCTCTCTCGTTCTTTTCAAGTATCAGTACAATTAATGATACCTCTTTCGGGTCTATAATTATCATTGTGATGATTGTGATACATCTCATTAGGGGGTTTGCCTCTCTTAAGGACTTGAAGATACATAGTTAACACTAGACACTTTCTACCATTTTCATTCCTACGCTTTTCACAGTTTCTACAATATATAGAATAGAAAGAATTTAAAAAAAAGTAGAATAGATTATAATATATAGATATAATAAACAAAAGACAACACAGAAAAACATTTAAACAATGGGAATGTCAAATCCTATACGAAGATCTATTGGCGAGTACTTTTTCTCCACATACAACATTTGTACTTTGGAGAGATCCTTTTTTCTCTTCTACAAATATCTTCAACACATTCGAAAAATCACTGCATATATTGAAACTCTGCCCAGATGGGTGAGATATTTTAAATATGAACAGCTTCAACATGGAATATGATGATGAACAGTCTTCTTCACAACCCTCCTCACAACCCTCCGACCCGTCATATATGCCATTTTCCAATAGCAATTATGCTTTCAGTGCTATGCTACCTCAGGATTCAGATCTGCCTCTCCAGAATTTCGCACGATCACAGCCTTCAGACCTGGAAGGACGGTCTAATGTCATGCCATACGACGGGATCCCGACCCCGGGTATCTCAATGCCGATAAACATGGACGCCACCAATACCTATGCCTACAATATCCCAACCACCTACCCGCCCACCACCATGGGGATGCCTCCACAGATGGATCATCCACAGTTCCAGTCTACATACCCGCCCTTCCCACCATCCATCACGGTACCCCATTATTCCCAGCCAGCTCTGCTGGTCCGCAAGGAACCATACGATATAAACACCGATTCGACAACCAATTTCGAGGATTCCGACTTTTCAGGTCGCACAAGTGATTGGTCGCAAGCACAAGCGCAGCCACAGCGGGCTCGGTCTCAGAGACAACCTCTGGAGCGCCTTCTGCCTGCTAGTCAGCCGTACCGTGCATCGCAACCGGTGGCTATCCAGCCCAAGAAGCCCGTTGCTGCAAAAGGTGAGTTGCCTTTGTATCTGGCACTCTCCGTTGGCTCTGGCCCATGGTTTGACTGACACAGGAACGCGCAATCAGAGGATATCTCACCAGGGCTAGAAAAGCCCGAGATTGGCAAGACTGAGCATACCGGCATATATTCGACGACTGGCTTTGACGTGCTGGGAGCGTTGGTATGTCTTTCCCATGGGAAACATCTGACGATGTATACTAACCCTGTTCAGGGCCGTGTGGCTATGCGGCCTAACCCTAAAATCAACATTGGCGCGGTCGATCTCTCATGTGCCTTTGTTATGTGTGATATATTGGTCGAGGATCATCCAATCGTCTATGTGTCAGAGGCCTTTGAACGATTGACCGGCTATACTAAAGATGAAATTGTTGGCCGGAACTGTCGATTCCTTCAAGCGCCCGATGGCAAGATCAACGCCGGCGCCAAGCGAACTTTTGTTGATGGTCAGACTGTCTATCGGCTACGATCAACCATTGACGATCGCAGTGAGATACAGGCTAGTATAATCAACTATCGCAAGGGTGGACAACCTTTCATGAATCTCATCACAATGATCCCCATACAGTGGGAGTCGGATGCTTATCGGTACTACGTCGGCTTCCAGGTCGATCTGGTTGAAAAGCCCGATGCCGTGAGGGGAAGGAATCCTGGTATGCTTTGTTGTATTCTTTGTGGGCGAGCCCTCAACTGACATTGTATAGATGGCAACTATACCATTAACTATCAGCGTGATCAGCTGCCACAGTATATCGTCCCACCACCAGATGTATACTCATCACGACCAGATCTTGGGTTGCGATATGGTCATGACGAAGTGACTGCCATTCTCAACGCTATGAGTGCAGCTGGCAATGATGTCAATCGTCGTTACCTGGATCGCATTCTGGTTGAGAATACCGATGATGTGATCCATGTGCTGTCATTTAACGGCGAATTCTTGTATATGTCGCCCTCTTGTCACAAGATTCTAGAGTACGACCCAGTCGAGCTAATCGGAAAGACTCTGTCCACTATCTGTCATCCTAGTGATATTGGTCCTGTAATCCGTGACTTGCGGGCGAGCACGACAACGGCTCCAGTGAATGTTGTGTATCGTATCAGACAAAAGCACAGAGGATATATGTGGTTCGAGAGTCACGGCGCGTGGCACATCGACCCGAACCAGGGTCGGAGGCATCTTGTCATGACTGGCCGCCCGCGACCCGTCTATACCTTGGATCAGATTGCCCGCCTGGGCTCATCCGCAGCACTAGCCGAGAATGACGTCTGGGCTAAGGTTTCTTTGTCTGGTGTCATTCTGTTCATTACGACCAAGGTAAAGCCGGTGCTTGGCCGCTCGCCTGATGATCTGATTGGCAAAGGCCTACAAGAAATCATGGAGCCCGAGACCGGTGGCGTTACCACGATCACACAAGCCCTGGAGGCAGCCTGTGGTGGACAAGGATCTGGCATAGCCGTCGTTACGGGTAGCGGCAGAGAAGCGGATGAACCACCCTCATTCAAACACCAAATGCTGCATAAGAAAGGCCATGCCCTTTTAGCACATACCACATTGTACACCGGCGATGCACGGAAGGGAATCAAACCGACCTTCCTCGTCGCCCAGATCCGATTTGCTCGATCCTTCCCTCCATCCGCCACGGTCGAAGACAAAAGTCTCGCAATGGTACCCGGCATCACACGCAACGCAACTCTCGCCATTGACGATCCTGCCACTCCCCGCCAGTATGGCGCCCTTGGCCAACGCATGCCTGATCTATCAACCCTCATCGGCCTCAACGGTCTGCCCACTGGCAACCGCAGCATTTCACCCTCTGCAGACCCAGCAAATTTCTTTACAGAGCTCAATCCCACTCGCGGATCGAGCTGGCAGATCGAGCTGCGTGAGCTAGAGAAGCAGAACCGCACTCTGGGTGATGAATTGCAACGCCTGCTGGCTCGCCGTAGGAAGCGTAAGCGCAAGCAGAACGCTATGGCGGTCGAGAAGCTATGCGCGATGTGCAGCACAAAAAACACCCCCGAGTGGCGGCGTGGTCCAAGTGGAAACCGGGATCTTTGCAATAGCTGCGGTCTGCGGTGGGCGAAGCAAATCCGTGGCCAGGCGCAGGCGCAGGCTGTGGCTTCTTCGTCTGTTACAGTGGACTGATGGTGAGTATACCTATCAACCGTTTTTTTGTAATTGATTTCCTTCTCCGCTTGGAGGGCTGGTTTCTTGATACCCCTTCCGTTTGACTGTCGAAATTGACATAAGATACATTTTAAGCGTTTGGATTTTTTGATTTTCCCCCCCGCACATTGTCCTTTTCATATGCAGTCTTTGAAATTGAATGCAGAAAAAAAAAAACTTGACGGCTAAGACTGTAGGCTCTACGGCTAGTAATGATCGAAAAACGGCTCTTTTCTGAGTCGAATCGTTGGATACAATACAAAGGATACCTAAATAAACATATACCGTGCAAGCAGGGACCTCTAGAGTCTAGCTTCACACAAAACTACAGCTTCTTGGACATGTGACTGTTTCCACGAACTGTCAACCACTGCTCCAACCAACGTCTCTCCAATTGCTCTGCCCGTTTTCGGTCTTGGGTACCAGAAGAGACATCCACACCACCACGTTCCTCAACCGCAATCCGCACCTCGGTGGCATTCATTGCCGACACTCCTCCACCAACACGAATCATCCCATCATCAATAGCTAAGTACTCGGCATACCGTGCTAGTCGAGGTCGGTAGATCAAACCAGCAAGGAACTCACCCGCAGTCTTATCATGTCGCTTAACTAGACCAAAAACAGCACAGGCACGCAAGACATCAGCGGACCCAGCCCCAGCGACCCAGGCAGGATCGGCAAAGCACTTAGCAAGAAGAGCCAATTGCTCCACACCGCCCGACTTGAGCAAATGCACAGATCGATCTTCATCCTCAGCAACGAACACATCCAGTGCCGTAAGTTTGCGCATCGTAGCAGTGACGCGCTCCGTCTTCATCTGCGAGGGCACACGACACGTTGCGGGCGTAATGGCAGAGCCGAAAATCGGGATAATCAGGGGTGTGAACTCGCCGCAGACGATCAGGATCATTGTGAAGGGGATCATTCGGCGGACATCGCGGGCTGAGCGGCGGACGAGCTGGAATTGCGCGCGGCCGAGTTTGGATTCTTGTGTTATTGATGGCGCGCTGCGGTTGTTGTGTGTGCTTGTCCGCGGTGGAGATATAGGGATGAAGGCGGGTAGGCCTAATTTTCTCCGTAGGGGGAGTGAGGCGCGATAGTTGTGGTAGACATTTTTTAGGCCCGTTTTGTAGAAGGTCACGTATGCGCGGCCGAATTCGACATAGCGTTTCAGTTTATCTACCGCGCCTGCGGAGGGCTGAAGAGGGGAGGGAGTTGCGAGAGGGGCAGGGTGTGTGCTGACTGGGGCATTTATTTCGGTTTTGGACGGGATTAAGACGGTAGTTGTAGGAGTTGATGATGGGGAGGGTCGGCGATATTGCTGGCTCGGGGTGGAGGTTGAGAAGAGCTGGGATTGTGCGCAGATGGGCAGTCGTTGGGATTGGAGGTGGGGATGAAAATGAGAGGGGCTCCAAGGTTGGAATTGAGTATGGAGGACTCGCTGGCCCCGAGTTATGCTGGTCATTATTGAGATGGTGAAAGATGAGACTATGGCCGATTGTTGCACATGTTAGTGGTTGACACCTTAGGCATCAATATCAAGATGCGAGAGATATGCAGGGCCAAGAGGACCTCGGGATCAGAGTATCATCTATTATAGTACTGAGAGCTAAGAGCTTCATCGTAATATCTCTCATTGTTCCAAGTCGGTTGATAAAGAACGGAATTCATTAGAAACATGCTATATATCCTCGAACTATTTTGTAAGGTAATTAATGTACTCCGTACATCAATTTGAAATCAAAGACAATATCTACTCCTCACAGACCTCAATGCTTTCGATGAGCCCGTTGCCCAACCGCGCAATCTCGTTCAAAATAGCAGTCCGGTTGATGACAACCTCCCCCTTGGTATCACCTGGGGCGGTTGAGTACGCCGTCTTCAGGTTCCAGGTTCGCGACTTCAGGGTCACAGGGTTCCAAAGGCCAGCAATCACTGTACAACGATCGTCTCCGTGGAAGAGCAAAATGCTCTGGCTGTAGCAGGCTTGTACATCACAGACAAACGACTTGATAGTCTGCATCATTCCAGCACGGGGTTCGACCAAGTTCTTGAACTTGGGTGCCGAGGAACTACTGAACAGCTTTGACCGAAGACGAATGACAAAGTCGTAGGGAGCAAGTGAGGTATTAAACAGCTCGGAAACTTCCATATCGTGGGTTTTGCTTCGTAGCAGACCTACTGCTGCCTTGGCTAGGCTGGACATCCGAGCAGCTACAACCTTGGAGGGCATCTCGTATTGGGTCCAGGTCACTCCCTCAGTATCGAGATCAGAGGCGACGAAAAGGGCCAGACTGTTCATCGCAGGATCGATGCTCCGCCAGGCTGCAAAGCGAGTGCGGATATTTTCCGTCACTTGTGGGGTCAGATCACCTCCCAGGTCAACAATGAACGGCTCCTGCTGCCAGTCCCACCGAGAAAGGGAGTAAAGAGTCCGGAGGAATCCGGTCATGACCGACGAAGGACATTCCCAGGGATTGGGCTGGATGAAGGTGCGAACCACCAGCAATTCAATTAACTCGTCGTTGATTTGAGCAGTAAACAGGTGAGAATTAAACCATTGTTTGGTAAGGCGAATGGTGGGCGACAACAAGGGGAAGCGTGTGCACAGACTTCTGAGTGCCTGTGTCAAGCGTGGAGTTTGGACAAACGTTTTCTTGTAGGCGAAGAGAGCATAGGCGGCCTCTTCTCGTTCCCGGGGACTCAGATCTCGGTTCTTGAGATTGCGCTCGAGTAGGGTGTGTTCACGCTCATGGTGAATTCTCAACCGGAACAACACGCCAGAGGAATGGGGAATTTCCAAATACGCATTGTTGATCACCTTGCTCGATTCGTTCTCGAGGCCTACACGGCAAGACGAGGCAGCACCCGATGATTCCAGAGAGTCTCCTATCTTCAAAAGGAACGCAATCTTGGTCATTTGGATAGCGGCGAAATCATCAGGCCAGCGCGAGGAGCTTTCGAACTGAAGAACAACGTCGGTGGGTCCCATTGGCCTGAGAGAGGTATAACGAAGAAGCGAACTGGCCGGAGCCAAGTGACGAACCTCCAGTGGCACTTCATCCATGCCGCGAATAGATCGCTCAAGATCCTTGAAGGCATCGTCAATTGACTTGAAAGCAGGGCTGGAGTATGCCAGAATACCATCGCCATGTTCTTTGAGGTGCTCGTCGTATTCATCACCAACAAATCCGAATTCATCAGTGGTGATCTTGAAGTGTCGTTGGAGTATGTACTCCAAAATCTGAGAAATGATAGATGTCTCCGACTCGTCGGACCATACAAGACTCTCTAGGATGCTGCCATCTTTGAATCGCCGGAGCTCCGATTTTTCACCCCAGAAAGCTTGGAACGAGGCAGACTCTTCTTTTTCTTCTGCAGCCGGGCCGTGATCGACAATTCGTCCGACATTTTCAGCATTCAATAGCAGTCCGACAGACACACCCTCACTTGACCGTTTGGGCTGCTTGGATTTGACTGACCACGAGTCAATAGCATGGCCCACAATAGAGACAAGTTTGACTCTGTCTCCCAGAGCGCGGGAAAGAACATTATGCAAAGCATTCTGTTCATGAAGAGCGCGGAGCGTGTCTCCATTGAATGACCTGGGGAATGATATCAAGCGATCAAATCTGAGGGCTGGTTCGTCAACCTTGAGAATGAAAACCTTATCGAAATTGTCCTCTCGTGACTCATTGAGCATTTTTAGGGTGATGGCGGCTTCATGACGCAGTGTTGTGTATGACCAAGGGGTCATTTTGTAAAGAATATTCAATCCTCTGCGGCTATCAAAAACAACAGGTATCCCGGAAGGAACTGGGACCTCTTGACCAAAGAATAGAGGAGTAGTCAAATCCCTGCCAGCCAAAAATTGGATAGTGGCCTTGAAAATTTGATAGCAGCTATATGATGGTAGCAGGACGGGTTGACCAGTCGGACCGCCGCCTTCAAACAGCAAAGACAGAAGTACAGTCCATTCGAAACCACCAAAGCCTCCATTCTGGAATGGGGTATGCAAGCCTCGCTGTTGCAGCCAAGTGCGGCCAAGAATGCATGCATCACTGAAAGAATCGCACCTCTTGGAGACCGAATAGATATACTTGTGATAAAGAGAGACTGTGGCATCGGAACGGAGGCTGGCATTGTAATACGAGGTCGGTTCGCCGATCTCCGAGGTATTGGAGGCCTGGCGGATATTGCTTTTGAGTGGAAGCGTTCTTGTGATCGGGAACAACGTAGGATCAATTGCAGTCAGAATTCGGATTGTAGGCTGGGATGATTCAATTTTACGTGGTTCCAACAAGATGAGAGGACGGAGACTATCTCCATCCTGGTGGGCAAATTTGATATCAAATCCGAGGGTATTCGCGGTGTCTTGAATTCCAGCAGCGACGCATGCGATATAGTAGGCCCGCTTGTGGAAATATCTGAAGTTGACGTAGTCCTTCTCCTGGAAGAGCGAACTTGGCATAGTGATTGCAAGATCAATTGGGCGCGACTCCAAAGTGCGAGCGCCTGTTTTTAGCGCAAAGCTACCTACCACATTGATGTTCGCTGGCTTTGCGTATGTCATGCTGTACTTCACATCTTTGCTTGGCCGAGGCTCAGGCCATGGCACAACCAGACCAGAAGCACGTAGCTCCTTCTCGGCATCGGGGACAAACTGCGGAGACTTTTCGGGCAGGCCTTCAATGGCGGTCTTGATCTGATGTAGTGTTTCCTGAACCTTTGAGACTTGCGTGCTGTAGTTAGGTCTCAACCCCGCTAGCAGATCGTCCATTTGAAGCTTGAAGAAACTGGATTTGTAAAAGCCGCTGGCCATTGCAAGCTCTGCAGAGCGCTCATCTTTGCCTCGAGTCGGGTTTCGCTTCTCGGTCACTTTTGATGTCTGTTTCATTGAAGAGCGAGTAACAGCATCCTCCGGGGAAGGACTGAGCTTCCTGCGCTTGGATGTGTGGTCCGACATTTCGTGAGTGTACTAATTGTTAGTAGAGGCACTCGATTTTTTTTTGGCGATAACGGTATTGTATCAACGATGTACCATACAGCTGACTCATTCGTATTTTATGAGGTCAGGTACCTGGAGCATTGCCGAAATCGTAGTGGAGGAATGGTATCATTTGCAACCTTTGAAAGTCTTTTCTTTTCCTCTCTTTCATTCTATAACAAATATCTCCAAATAATCATATTTTCTGGCGTCGGGTTTATATTTTCAATTGAAAATGTTACAGGCTTTGGGAGGACCTGTGCCTCCAAACACTGACCATGTATGGTGAACTCCCCGCAACCCCTCCATGAGTCTTCTAACATCTACAAGGCCGTCAGTGTATCGCTTCCAACATGGAGGGAGAATGTCGGATATGAAGAAGGAGAGGATTGGGTCATAAAGAAAATGCAATGCGGTTATCCCCGGTTCTTCGTCCATCCTATTATCCAAAAGCTCGCCCAGGAGATTGTTCGTCGAGTCGGTGATCCTAACCTCGAGTCTGCAACCCTATTCGCATCAGCTAAGCCAGCGCGCATCTGTCATTCCTTTTTGCTTAGCAAAATCCCCGCAGACCAGGCATACAAAGGACGGATTGTTAACTTCATCCCATCCCCACACACCGAAGCTGGATCAACAGTGACATCTTCCTTGTCGTGTGTCATTTACCCAAAAGAATACGCTTCCATTACCAAGCAGGTATGGCAACACTCGGGCAACGGTATTTCCAGTCGACGAGGTGAGTTCTGCCTTAGAGCATTGGAGGACGGGTTTTTGGTGGAAGACAAAGGCTTTTCGACCGCGGAGTCAATTTCCCAGCGTCCTTGCAAGGGACCCCGCAGATACCAAAGCGCCAGTGGACCGAGAAAGGGCTCTGTTGGGGAATCTCCTCCCAAGTCAAACACCGAAGATGGCCGAGACTATGCTCAATTCATTGAAGAGCGATTTGGCCGAAATCTCAGCACTTCTCTCGCCAATCAAGCCAAGCTGGCTGTTCGCAAACGTATTGCGGGTGTATTGACAGTAGATGCTGAACTCCCAGAAGCTCTACAGACAGCTTCCTCAGAAGGCCGAGTCGCCGGTATTTCCGAGGAGGATGTCCTTCTTTATCCTTCGGGCATGAGCGCCATCTTCAACGCTCATCAGACCTTGCTGGCTACTAGAGGCGATTTGCGGTCAATTTGTTTCGGATTCCCTTACACGGATACATTGAAGATTCTCCAAAAGTGGGGACCAGGCTGCGTATTCTATGGTCACGGCTCCTCGGAAGATCTGGATGATCTGGAATTTCGACTGAAGGCTGGTGAGCGCTTCCTTGGGCTTTTTACTGAGGCACCAGGTAACCCCCTTCTCAAAACACCGGACCTCAGGCGGATTCGTGCTTTGGCAGACCAATATGGCTTTGCCGTAGTGGTCGACGAAACCATCAGCAACTTTTTGAACATCAACGTTTTGCACCTGGCAGACATCGTTGTCAGCAGCTTGACTAAGATTTTCAGCGGGGATAGCAACGTGATGGGAGGAAGTGCTGTGCTTAACCCTCAAGCACAGTATTATCCAGCCATTAAGGAAACTTATAACCGGGATTACGAAGATATTTACTGGGCAGAGGATGCTGTTTTCCTGGAGAGAAATAGCCGTGATTTTATTTCCCGTATTGAGCAGATCAATGCTACCACCGAGAATATTACAGCTATGTTGAAGGAGTCGCCCCTAGGTTAGCATTCATTTACTTTGAATGAGAGCTGTACTGACAATTTCACAGTGAAAGAAGTTTATTACCCAAAATACAGCCCCACGAAACCACTATATGATAGCCTCCGCAATGCTAATGGTGGTTATGGTGGTCTCTTCTCTGTCACATTCCACTCCCAAGCCGAGGCGATTGCGTTTTTTGACAGCATTGAAGTTTTGAAAGGGCCCAGTCTTGGGACCAACTTTACGTTGAGGTAAGTATGCAGCCCCCCTCTCTTGGGGCTTGCTAACTTTCCAGCTCTCCGTACGTCCTCCTGGCCCATTACGGCGAATTAGACTGGGTATGTACACCACTTGCATGCTGATCAGGCCATAGCTAACATGTGTCAGGCGAGATCCTTCAATGTCGATCCGGATCTAGTGAGAATCAGTGTTGGGTTAGAAGAGGTAGCTGATCTGCGTTCCAGGGTACAACGGGCCTTGGACGCAGTGCAAAGCGTTCGGCAGGCAAGTACATAGTCTACCCCAGCTCAATCAAAGTTGGCCTATGCATTATACAACAACTTGGGCTTTTTCTAGTGCTATGATATCCATATCCGTAAATTGAGGTATATAACACGATATAAAGTAGACTACCGTAACTTAACACACTGCACTAAGAAGAAAACGAGATCCTGCTCCGAACCCTTCACTGTCCAACGCCAAACAGAAGCAGTTTGGCTGCTAAAACGTACGGTCTAGCAGGTCATCCCCTATGGTACTCACAGCCTGGCTTGTAACGCCCAGGTCCTCATTGGCAGTTTTCCTTAAAGCCTGTCGCATGGTCTCTACATTGAGGTCTCCCCCAAAACTGGAAGAGACTGGACTTTGAGCGGTACTAGCAGTGGGAAACCGAGTGGGAGACATATCAAGCCCTCTAGAAGAGGTCGCAATGCTTGTTGGTGGCGATGTGCCGAGTCCATGCGAAGAAGATGGGGAGCGCAATGGAGACGGGGATTGGTTGAGATCTCCCAGACGCCCCCGAGACATTATACCAGGATGAGCTTCATTTGTTTCTGCATGCTCGGCGTTGACAACGTCAGCAAAGGAAATGAAGCTCAGCCGACGTATATCTGTCGTGTCCAGTGCTCCATAACCGGATGAGAGTTCATCTGCATCAGCCTGGCCCAAGAGATGATCAATGCCTGATGATGCCATTGATTGCTCCCCCGATGCACCACCCGCTGACTGATGTAGGCTATGTGTGATTATCTCGACTGAATCTGGATCGAGGCGGTCATCTGTGATCGCGGCCGAGGATGCTTCTAGGACAGGCGGAATATAGTTATCGGTTCGAATATGCGCAGGTATCGAAGGTGACGCCTGTGCTGGTACTATATCTTCCTGCACATCTCGTTCGAATATCTGAGACGCGGGGGAATGTATACGGGGCGGCAGATATGACGAGCTTTCGGGCGATGAGGGGTGCCTCATGTATTTGGTCAAATCATGATTTGGTGTTGGTAGGGCTTCGGATGATCTCACAGGTGATATGCAGCCTGTGTCGATTTGATTCTTGTCCCATGTGAAAGCAGTGGGTTTTGGGGCTCGTGTACTCGCTCCAACGGGGTTTGGCTTCTGATCTGTAGAATGAGACATTGCGATAAGATGATGTATTTTCAAAATCCGATAGCCATGATCAAGAATGTAGAGTAAATGGGAGTTTGTACGGAGTAAAAGAGTCTCTAAGAGAGTCTCAATGATGACATCTCTTGAGACATTGATGTACGTAGAGACCAGGTGACGGGCCCCAACAAGGATTATTATTACATACCTATATACATACCTATGTATGTATGTATGTAGGAAAATACTTGTATCCGGTACCTTTGATTGAGCAATGAGGAAGAGGGCTTTTGAGGTACTAGATACTTCAATACATATTTGTATGTACATATTTTTTTTAAAAAAGAATACGGTATGGTAAATACACTCAGGCCAAGGGGGGTCACGAGACCAGGGGAAAAAGTTCGGGTTTGAAGCACGACAGATGCCAACACGTAAAGTCCTTCAACTCCAAGTCCAGTCCTACCATTAGGTCAGTTCACCATTATAAATAATATATATGAATACCTACTAACTCTTTCTTTTTTTTTTTTTTTAATTCCAGTTTCTGATCAATTTCTCCCCCCCTCAATTGACCAGAGCAATGGCGACCTTCCTTGCCGCGACGAAGCGGCCATTTCTCACATTGCCATTCCTTGTTCCCTCCTTGTCGGATTCTCTGGCGATAGGATTTCGACGAAACCAATCTTCATACCGACGAACCAAGCAGCGACTACGTGTGAAGCCAGATTCCTCATTTGATCTGTCTAACCTGGGTCACGATCACATTATCCACAACCCGCCATCCAGTGCTCCAAATGCCTACCATACCCCATCCAAGTTCTTGCCCGCCGATGATGTTCGGAAAGCATCCATCCTTTCTTCCACCGTGACCCCTAACGCCGACGATCTTCCCGGTGTCTACAAGTCTATGCCCGAAAGAAAATACCACCTCACCCCTTCGGACATTGAAGAAATCCGCAATCTTCGCATGAATGACCCCATGACCTGGAGCCGAAACAAGCTCGCCAAACGTTTTGAATGCTCGCCCGTTTTTATTGCCATGGTCTGCCAGGCAAGCCCAGAGAAGAGAGAGATCCAGGCCCGGATCTTGGAAGCAGTGCAATCACGATGGGGTCCCAAGCGCCGCATGGCCAGAGAGGATCGTGAACTACGGCGGGAGGCCTGGGGACGAGACGCATAGTGATAGCATGATCCCAAGCCACAGGAAAAGGTCTTTTTTCTTTTTTTTTTAAAAAGAAAATCCATGTATTCTAGCTTATTTTCTAGCATTGTTTATTGTATTCCATACCAAATCTTTTTCTATTTATTCTTCCAACCAATCAACCAAAAAAAAAATAAAAAATAAAAAAAATAAAAAATAAAAAAATAAAAAACTATATAGGAATAGCCATCAAGGTAGAAATCTAGAATAACTATCTATAATATCTATATATATGTGTGTACGGAGTAGAAAATATGATGTCTCAAATCAAAAACTACATATGTAGCTAATCAACCCCTTGTAACATCTCTACTGTGTGATAGGGCCAAAAAAAATTACGTGATAAGAAGTCACTTCTGGACCTCCGGTTACTTCAGGGCAAAGACGGCAATGCCCCTCTTTCCCCTCCGTCGTGTTTCATTCAAACTTGCTTCTTTTTCCTCTCAATTTTCTCCAGCCATTCGTTCTCCTCTCTCCTCTCGTCGCTTCTTCTACGGCAATATCAGCGATACCAAAATGGCCCCCCAGTTGGAACCCTTCTTCAAGCAGTATGCAATGTTATCTCCCAAATAGAGAGACTTTAAACTGACAGTCAAAAAGGGTCGACGACTCATCCAACGATTTTATTGAGCGTATGTATAATACTGGTTTCTCGCAAGGTCCTCGCTGATTCTAGTCAAGGTCTACGGAAGGCGGTTGCGATCCCATCTATCTCGGCACAAGATGAAAACCGACCAGATGTGTTCCGCGTGAGTTTCTCAGCAGAGACATAAAATCCAGGTCTAATCTTTATAGATGGGCCAATTCCTTGCCGACGAGCTCACGGCTCTTGGAGCCGAGGTTGAGCAACGACCATTGGGCAAACAGCCTGGTAAAGAACATCTTGAGCTGCCACCCGTGGTGATTGCGAGATATGGCAACGATAAGAACAAGCGCACCATTCTGGTTTACGGACACTATGACGTGCAGCCCGCTCTAATGGAAGACGGCTGGGCCACCGAGCCCTTTGAGTTGACCATTGATGAGAAGGATCGGATGTATGGTCGTGGCTCTACCGATGACAAGGGTCCCGTTCTGGGCTGGCTCAATGTCATTGATGCCCACCGTAAAGCTGGTATCGAGTTCCCTGTCAACTTGTTGTGCTGCTTCGAGGGAATGGAGGAGTATGGATCCGAGGGTCTGGACGACTTCATTCAGGCTGAGAGCAAGAAGTACTTCAAGGATACGGACGCTGTTTGTATCTCTGATAACTACTGGCTCGGCACAGAGAAGCCCTGTCTCACCTATGGTCTGCGTGGCTGCAACTACTACTCCCTCAGCATTTCGGGCCCCGCTCAAGACCTGCACAGTGGTGTCTTTGGTGGCTCTGCCCACGAGCCGATGACTGATATGGTTAACCTTCTCTCCAAGCTAGTTGATTCCCAGGGTAACATCCTGATTCCGGGTCTCATGGATCTGGTGGCTCCCCTTACCGAGGACGAGCAGACTCTCTATGGAAAGATCAGCTACACTATGGACAACCTCCACGAGTCGTTGGGCTCCGAGACAGGTATCCACCCCACCAAGGAGCGTACCCTGATGGCTAGATGGCGTTACCCATCTCTGTCCATCCACGGTATCGAGGGTGCTTACTCGGCCCCTGGTGCTAAGACGGTCATTCCCGCTAAGGTCATTGGTAAATTCTCTATCCGTACCGTGCCTAACATGGAGAGCGAGGATGTAAACAAGCTGGTATTTGACCATATCAAGACTGAGTTCGCCAAGCTGAACAGCAAGAACACTATGGACGTTTCGCTGCAGCACGACGGCAAGTGGTGGGTCGCCAGCCCCAAGCACTGGAACTTCTCGGCTGCCGGAAAGGCTGTTCAACAGGTCTTTGGAGTCGAGCCAGATATGACTCGCGAAGGTGGAAGGTAGGACTATCTTTTCCCACTAAAATAGTTTCACAGCTAACCGTTGGTAGTATTCCCGTCACATTGACCTTCGAGCAAGCCACTGGCAAGAACGTCTTGCTCCTTCCCATGGGAAGCTCGACTGATGCTGCCCACTCTATCAACGAAAAGCTTGACAAGAGAAACTACATTGAGGGAACTAAGTTGCTGGGAGCTTACCTACACTATGTTGCAGAAGAGCCTACCTCTTCATAGATCTAATCATGGATTCGATTCTTAATCTGCTGTTTAAGTAGTCGTTTACCAAAACACAAGCCATTTCATCAATAACTCTTGGAATAATACATCTATTACACCTCACACACAAGGACCTCGAAAGGGAGAATATACTATCCCGTATTCGAAAAGGGTTGATTACTTGTATTGCGCTACTTAGGGGGGAATAGATATAGGGAACCCCATGAAGCACCGACAACTCCAAAAATGACTAGCCAAAAATCCACCAAGAAGGAGAGTGTAAGAAAATGAAAATGCATCAATCGCTATAGTGGTGCTCGAGGATTGCAACAGACACCCAGTAGACAGACAAACACGAGCAAAGATTAGATCAAGAGTAAGACGCCGTCAAGTGCAAAGCAATTCGATATTAGTTACTATATATCCGTTAGTATTCTGTTCAGGGATCAGTAAAGAGGGACAACTTACTAGATTTCCAGAGGAGAAATCTGATCCAAAGCATAGAGCCAGTTTCCACCTTGCTCCTCTTTCTCAAGCCTATAAATAGAATTCGTCAGTGAATATGTCCTCAGATCAAATATAAGCAAAGTTGAGATATACCAGTCATAAGGCCACATGATGAGATGACCTTGAGTGTTGTTAAGGAGATCCTCCGCACGGCCCTTATCCAAATACTCATCTGTGCCATGGGGGTCACGCTTCGAGCCAATTGTTGTGGCTCTACGTCTACGTCTCCGAGACTGGCTCGTCGAGTTTAGATTCAGGTTCACGGCTTCAGAGTAATCGACATGGGCCGAGGCTGTTCGGGACTTCTCAATATCCTCACTGGCGACGACGCCATTATCATCGCAGGTCCCGTTCGGAACCTTGCCCAATAGGTTCGGATCAGACACCATCTTGAGTGCGGCCTTTTCATCGATGGACGATAACGTCTCCTGTTTCGCTAGCTGCTCAGACTGAGGACGGCCAGCTTCGTTCCCAGCCCCGACCTTCTCGTCAATTGTCTGAGGGCTCTTCGGATCTACTTGTGGTCCTTCGGGCCTTGGGGTGATGAAAGACATCTGAGAAGTGATCGACATGGGAGAGCTGACCGTAGCCCCGGGTGGGGGAGGACCATTTTGTTTTTGTTGAGGTTGGGCGGGCCTGTTGCCTTGTTGGCTCTGCACTTCTGCAAAGCGCTCGCCATATGTGGCATACTCCTTGTATTCCTTCCAGTTCTTCACCTCGCTGTCGGGCATGCAGCGGAACACAGATCGGTAAATTTTAGTGTTCTGCTCGGCGACGGCTTGCCATGTGTCTAGATAGAAGCCATCAATGATCGGGTCCCTCATACAGTCGTTGTCGATGAAAACACGCTTGAGGTCTGGAACAGATGGGTGGTTGTGCTTAGTGGTTCCATTTTCTTCTCTAGGCATGTTCAAACCGGTACTGCCAGTCTCGAACTCACGGTTCGACGACCCGGTAGCTCCATGCCCTTGTGATGTAGTATTCGCATTGATCTCGGAGTCACCATTGGTTTCACTCGATGACCCAGGTCTGCGGTCCTTGCGAGTTGAGGGTGTTCGACAGAGCTTTTGCTGTGATGATCTCGGTCGCTCAATAGTACCTCTCCCCTCAGGAGCGATGGGCGAAAGAAGGGCTTCTCTTCCATGGCCCTCTATATTTGAATCACGACCAACTACCAATCCGGCCCGAGCAGCGGCTTTCAGATGATCGGCGCCATCACCTTCCACGTCTTTTCTGTGATCGGGATTTTCGGTGACGCGAGGGTCGGTGGTGAGCTTGCGGTTTGATTTGAGGTTAGGGTTAGCACCCTGCTCCCAATCAACATCATGGTTGAAGCTATACATGTCCTCAGAGCGAGAAAGGAACTCATCCTGGACGCGATGCCGACGTTCAACCATTTCCCTCTCATCTTGTCGTTCGATGGCCGAGGACCCCGAATTTCTCCGCTCTCGGTTGTCAACTAGGCGCTCACTCCCCTCGGCGACCTGGATCTTGCGTAGCTCTTCTTCAGTAGCAAAGTCATGTTCCATGAGTTCGTCGACATCAATTCCGAGATGTTCTCTCATCAGACGCATACGCAAGGTATGTGGGAATCGACCAACAAGGTATGGCTTGCCATTCATGCTCGACATGATCATATCGGTGTCACGCACAACAGATGCAACCTCTGAATCACGCGAACCCAACATGGACCGTTCGTTGATGTTTGCTGATCCAATGATAGCAGCGCGATCGTCAACGACCATGCATTTGGCATGAATATAAAGTTGCTCAGTCACCAGTGCCTTCTGCGGTCCAATCTTGCCCCAAGTTCGCAGACTGTAGAACTGGATATAGTCCTCTGGCTCAATTCCAAGAGCACGAAGACGGCCAAAAATGGATGTCTCACCACGGCAGATACTGCGGTATTGACATTGCATGATAAGGCGAACACTTGTTCCGCCTTCACTGTCCACGGTGTTTTGGAAGCCTGGCATCAATGGGATAACAATGACGGCGCGCCATGCTTCCTCCTTTTTGGCAGCTCGGACAATACGTTCAACTAGTGCATCTCCAATAAGGTTCTCGATCTTTCGGCCCTCAATCTCGCAAGTGCTGATGAAGAACTGATTCTCGATGTAAACGAAATGCTCGGATTCCTCGATCAACTTCACATAGGCATTCATGATGCTGTGCTCGACAACATCGGGTGTTCCTGTCGACCACATGCTACTAGAACGGAGAATTTGTACCTCGCAAGTTCCATCAAGGCCCAGAGCTTCCAAATCAGCGGGGTTGAAATCGGGTGGCGGCAAGAGGAAGGGCGTCGGCCGCGTGGGCTTTCGCTGACGAAGAATGTAGTTCCAGCGTTGCACGAAGTGACGAGTGAGATCCCGAGCAGGCTGGCCCACGACATGCATAGAAATGTCATGCCACGGCATCCGGGGTACAACATTGCGATCGTACATCTCCTCATATGGCTTATCCAGGTCATAGAAATCCTGGATTCTCGGATTGGAGTAGTCCTTGCCCGGCCAGAGTTGACAATGATCCGCATCTTTGGGACCATCAGTAGTCTCAAAGCCGGTAGGCTTGTCATCAGTCAATTGATGTTGAGGAGTATCCCAACGCCCAAAGCACAGGTCGATACCTCCAACAAATGCGATAGTATGGTCGATGAGACAAAGCTTCTCGTGGTGGGCCCAGAAGAAAGTATTTTGCCGGAACTGATTTGGTGATCGCTGAACAAAGATATTTGGGTGAAGATCAAGGAGAGAGAACTTGGAATACTCCGAGTCAATGGGAATTGCCGAGTTGATGTTGCGATACATGATCACGAAAACTTTAACGCCTTCTCGAGCTTTCTGTTGCAGGAGACGGTCCAATCGCCATTTTTGGCTGATGGCAGCAGGCCGGCGCATGTAAAGCTCTGGACTCAGCCACCAGTCATGGATATAAATGACATCCTTTGCCTGGTTGATTGCTCGTGAAACAACCCACATGTGATCTCGTGCATCAACCAGCCACTGTGCAAAGCAGTTTTGTCGCACAGGCGCGAAACTGTCGAACCGGTTGGGGTGCATCCACGGAGTATTAGCAACCATGAAGCGGATCGAGTCTTCAAACTGTTGGAGCTGACGCTCATTACGGGCCAGCAGTTTGAGCTTGCGTTCAGAGTTCTCAAGTCGCAGAGTGTGGTGCTGAGGGTGCCTTGCAGACTGCTTCGCAGACTTGGCAAGATCCTTTGGATTTTGTTTACGAAGACTGAGCTTCGGTGTCTGAACCTTGAAATGAGGATCCACCAAGAAGACATCATAGATATTCATCTCCTCAGGGGAGTCCACGCAGACTACATAGCTGTGCCTAACCAAAAACCACTTGGGCGAATGGCGCTTCTTGACCAGAGACGGTGTGAGCGCCTTTCGGAAATCAAGACCCTTGGAGGATTGGATTATCAGGAATCCTTCTTTGCCGTGGTAACTGCCTTCTGCGGCCAGACGGACGCCTAGAGCGGAAAGTTCCAAGAATTTGCACAAGCGATTGCTATCAGCCCTGAAGATCAGGAACCTAATCATCTTTTGCAGATAGAGCTCAAGCTTCTTTCGCTGCTTCCCAGGGTATGTTTCTTTCCGAGCTCCCGACACACCTTCATGGGTGGATGAAGGTCCTGCGGCTGAGTCTCCTTCTTGATTGGTGATGCTGGACTTTCTGCGGGCAAGCGGACCAGAGACCCGACGCTGATGCGGTTGTTGGCTCTGCTTTTTCTTGATCGGAGGCCTCTCTGTCCCACTCATCCCCTCCGCGCCAGTCTCATAGCCACCTTCTTCATCTTCATCCTCGAATTCACTTTCCAGGCCTCGCACACCTCGCATGTAGGGGAAAGCACTTCTAGGGAATCGAGGGAGACTTGGGCTGTTCTCACTCGTGCGTAGCTGGATGTACTTCTGAGTTCCCAGGTGAAGCTTATACTTGAGATGCAGATTGGCAAAGTCTCTAAGCGTGCGGAAGATGATCCATTTCATGCGAGTCATGCCACTTCCGTACTCCATTTCGATTCGGAAGACCAGATGACGATCGCCGGAGTGGGAATCAATCCGGCTGTCCGTAACACGAACCTTCAACTGCTCCAAAAGAATCGGTATTCTTTTGCTGCCATGCTCATCTCGTTGGAACGCGCTGGCCAGTATAAGGGCAGCAGGCACGGCGGAAGCGAGTTCAGCAAGCAGCTCTGCAGATTTCTTGTTGTCCACAGTGTTATCTGGCCTTCGTCGCTGCCCAATGAGTTTCAGACCAGCTTTGATTTGCTTCCATCGCTGAGCACTGGCACTGGTACCTCGCTCGGTTCGATGGCGTCTCCAGCTCGCCGTTATGCTCTCGTCGTTTCCAGATGGCCCGGCAAACCCAGTCAATCGCCTCAGGTTGCTCGGGCGCTGTTCATCCGGGTTGGCATCCGGATTCCGGTCAGTATAGCTACCAACTCGAGTATTTGCCCACGGGCGGCTCCTCGTCCGCCGGCTGAGCCTTTCACGGCCTTCATCTTCCGAAACACCTTCGCGTTGTTGAGGTATGAAGTCCGTAGTGCTTGCTCTTCGGGGGAACAGATTAGTGCGATAGTTCTCGAAAGGCGCAAAAGAGGATGAGAAGTGGAATGATGGTCTGCGCGATGTTTTGGGCGTTGTAGGGGCTGTGTTGGATCCAGCTTCTTCCTCCCATTGTTTTCGCCGCCGTTGCGTTTTCCTCTTTTCACGAGGATCCCGTTGCTCACCGCCGCTCTCTTCCGCGTCGGCATCGATTTCACTGCCCTCTTCTTCTAGGGGCTCTGGGAAGCGGAATTCCCCCCTCTCCGACCCCGGGGTAGCTATATCGCCTTGAGCTGAGCGAAAGTCCGTACTCGCGCCGCTAGGGGACCGTGAATGTGACGAAAAATTGGGTGCAGTAGCCAATAGCTTCAATTTGCCGAACAACGACTGCTTCCCTTTGGGACCCTGATCATCATCGTCGCCGTGTTGAGAAGCGGGTCGAGATTGCGGCCGGGAGTGGGACGCGTCGGGAGCCTCAGTGTCGGTATCTCGGAATTGTACACTTTGAGCACGGGATGGAGGGGACATTCCGGGGTTAGACGACTGGTGTTGATGGCGACTCCATGGTTGGTGGTCCTCGGCTGACCGGTTTGGCGGTCGAGTGCTCAGGGATGACCTGCCCCTCGGTGAACCATGCTTCAAAGACGATGGACGCGCATTTTCCTTATCGCCTAGTATTCCACCTGTTTCATGATCGTCCGTGGGCTGGGTAGACTGATTCTGCTTTATTGAGGCCGGTTTCTTGGATTCGGTGGGAGAAGGCAACGGGGATGCCAATTTTGATTTGTTTGAAGCCGCAAGGGGTTCTGGTTTTTTTGTGTCGACCTTCAGTGAGCCAGTTTCCACGTCCTTGTGAACTGAAGAGGTCGACATGTTTTGATTTTGATGCTAATGCAAGATGATTATCAGTTGCAGTTCACGGGGATCGACCACATTTACATTGTACATACTCAATCCACTGCCAATGTACTGTCAGGTATGACTATGTAATGATCTATCCTCCCTAGGATTAGGAAACAAGAAAAAAAATCCAAGGGGGTAAAGAGCGTGTGTTGACATTAAAAGGAGCATAGATAAATAAGTTTACAGTGGAGTTCCCAGCTGTTTTCCGACTGGAGAAGAAGCGGGCGGTCAGTTTGGAAAAGGGGCAGCACGTTTACTTTGTAGGTACTATGCGTTCAAAGTATGTAGTATATCTGGGATTGGGTATTTAGTTATGCAGTATGAGAAGGGAATATTGGATTAGATTGAGTGTATTCAAAGGGGTCTCTTCTTTAGTATGAAATAAAATGGCATATATGGCCTTAATTGGGGACATTGGAACAACACTGGAATTTAAATAAATATAACTATATAAGAAAGAATCAACCTACAACAGTACATAGAGTATACAGAATAATCTGTAATACCTACATAGGTAGTCTCAGAACTATGCTAAATATCTAAAGCTAAGGCCTCGGCTTTACGCAGTACAGTTACCCGAGTTGCCTTTATCTTCCCCACCATTTAAACCATCTTTCTTCAACAAATCTCAACTTTATATTTCATATTCTTCATATCTGCTCAACCATAATGACTGATCCATTACAATCCCTGGACGATTCAGGCAGGCCCATACCTGCCGCCGTCTCCCAGCATGTCTACGCAATTGCCGGCATCTCAGTCACGGTCTTTGGATTGGAAGAGCTCTGCAAAGAGGCCTCAGAGGTCGCATGTCTCTGGCTTCTTCACCCAAGACTAGCCACTCAGAAGCGCATGATGAATATTGCCAACTCCGCCATCGGCGACTGGAACAACAGAACTCAGGACACACCCTCAGCCAAGGGCCTAATTGCTGTCTCGTTCGACCAACGAAACCATGGCTCCCGGATGGTTGACCCTCTTGCCAATGAGACTTGGAGAAAGGGGAATCCACGGCATGCCCAGGATATGTTCTCCATCTTCCGTAAGTGAATCGTAAAAATAAGATATACATGTGATATTTTAACTGTGGCTAGAGGGCACTGCAAGAGATACATCGCTGCTCATGGACTACCTTCCCTCCTATACATTTCCCAACGGAGAGCATGAGATCACTGAGAACCTGGTTCTGGGAGTCTCACTAGGCGGGCACGCAGCATGGAGCTGTCTATTGCACGAGCCTCGAGTCAGCACCGGGGTTATCATCATCGGCTGTCCAGATTATATCAATTTGATGGCAGACCGCGCACGACTGTCGAAATTGCCATCATGGACTAAGAGTGACCCGCCTGGGGCTGAGGTCCTTGGCTCAGAAGCTCTGCCGACTTCTTTCCTAAAGACAGTCAACCGATATGATCCTGCCGGTATGATGCTTCAGCATGTGGATTGCGGGCCATCGACTAGTCCTTTGCGCGAAGGCCCGTTGCCTCAGCCCTCAGAAAGTGAGCAGGAGGTGCTCCGACCGTTGCTGGTTCGTGCCTTGGGTGGCAAACGAATTTTGAACATATCTGGCGGCAAGGACAAGCTTGTTCCCTATCATCGCGGGGAGCTGTTCCTCAATTGGTTCAAACAGACTGTCTCGTCTGATGGGTGGTTTGGTGATGGTGCAGTGTCCTTTGAAGATATCATTGACCAGACGGCGGGCCACGAAGTCACTGCCAAGATGGTCGATGAGGCTGTTCGGTTTATCAGCGAGACACTGGCCTCTGGTCCCGATAGAGAGTCAAAGATCTGAGCACTGGGGCATGGTGGTAAATGTGTCGATGTCTACAATATATGTATATAGAATGGAATTAGATGTGATGTGATAAGATCTAGTTCTACAATCATAATCAGATAGATTGATAGACCCTAAATCTACAAAGATGACCGTAGCTTTTAACAGCGAGCCTGCCAAGTAACTTTGGGAAGCTTTTCATGCTCCAACCAAGGTAGCATTGGGTATACTACGTGAGAATGTCTGAATGATTCAAACCGAATAATCTGCCCTCCAGGAGTCATGACAATGGACACGCATGGACCACAAACATTTGAAAAAAAATCCTCCTTATGGTATTTGTGTAATACACCGATGAAATCGTAAGGGCATTCGGAGGCCATATGCTATGCTGATTGCATACAAAAAAAACCCTTTTTATTTTCGACCGCCCGAACCGAAACCAAGTCGGTTCGGGCAGATCTCACTTTGAGTTCCGATCGTCCTCCATGCTGGCGAACGAACACAGCTAGGGCTTCAAATTGCCCCTATTCACCCGCCCTTCTCCAGAACCTCTCGACGAATCAACGCTTATGCGACGAGCTCAACAACACCACCGGCGGCCTTGATCTTCTCCTCGGCGTCACGGCTGACGTAGCGGGCACGCACGACGACGGGGATCTGGGGGAGACGGCCCTTTCCAAGAACCTTGGAGTAGCCGAGGGGCAGGAGGTCGATGACGGGGGCGACATCGGTCTTCTGGCCGCTCAGGTAGGCATCACGCTGCTCAGCGGGAACGAGGGACCAGAGCTGTAAAAAAAAAAAAAAAGTCGCAGTCAGTGATAATTGTCCTTCTCCATGAAATTCTGCAAATCGTTCATATTCTTGTCGATTGGCCTCCCGCCTCTTTTCATGTCGATATTTGTATACCCTTCATATCCAGACAAGTCCACAATTTCTTCTTCATATTGAATCGACTCGCAAGATGTAGATGGAACGTACCTTATCGACGTTGATAGTGGGCTTCCAGAATTGCTGGTTGGTCTTGTGGAAGTAACGCATACCAACCTTACCGAAGTAACCAGGGTGGAACTTGTCAATGTTGGTGCGGTGATGGTGCTGACCACCGGCCATACCACGACCACCGGGGGACTTGCGGTGCTTGCCGACACGACCGTAACCGGCAGACACATGGCCGCGGCTGTAGGAGAATGACAGGTTAGTGATATGTTGGTGTGATATTGCGACGGGCTATGACGAATTTGGCTCTTCTGGTCGCGATCGACGAGAAAAGAATTCGATTCAGACGGCACAGGAAAGGGTGTCGACTCACTGCTTCCGGGTGTTCGAGAAACGGGTAGGCATCTTGTCGGCGGGGGTGTTTCGACAAGACCGTTGATGTTTGGCGTTGAAGGGATCGTTCCGTCTACAGGATGTTGAAATCCAGGCTTAGAGTGTGCGCTAACAGATTCGCTTGTCCCGTGATCATGGAACCCTAGCCCTGGCTTTGTCATAACTTATGTCATGTATGGTTTACACCGCCCTTTCTCATTCTGCCGTTATTTTACAATGTAGAGCTTTGGTATTCCATACGTCCATCTACAAAGTACGCATACCAAAGGTCCAATGAGTACGGATTTCATGTAAAACCATGATGTTGTATCATTTGTATTGTTTTTATTCTGTTGACTATCCTGATATCTCCTTTTTTTCGGCGAAGAATTTTGAAAGTTTTTGCACAGTCATCTGAGCCGCCCGCGTGGGAGGTGCTGTGACCAAGCTACCTCTAATCCAACCAGGCAGTTTTTGCTGGATCCGCGGCGAGTCATACCGGCGATCGATCATAATGATAGCGGCATAGTCATTCACGTGTCTGATGGCTCGACCGATACACTGATTCACTGCCCGCATGCACGAATTCTCGTAAAAGTCCCTGCCCGCTGCCTTGCCTGCTGCTTTCCTTTCCGGCTCAGACCCAGAAGCTTGTTTGTAGGTCTTCTCCTCGAGGTACTGGATTTTGGCCTGCCAAACAGCACTGCGGATGTTGGGAAATGGCATGCCGACGATAAAGACGCCGCGCCCTAGCTTGTCGGAGAAATTAATGCCTTCTGACAGCTTGCCGCCCACGATAGACAGAAGCAAGGCTCCTGATCCTGATTCAACGGCCTTGCTATACTCTCGTAGCAAATCGTCTGTCGTTGTCACTGCTTCACGAGATTCGTAGAGAATCTTCTTCGTCCGTTCCAGTAGACTGAGAGTGCTTTGACCGTTCCCGTTGGGGATGGGCTTTTTCCAGACACTCAGAACTTGACCGAGATAGTCATAACTGGGGAAGAACGTGACGACACCGTCTGGGATGACCTGACAGAGGGTTGCTATCGTACGCCCAAGGTCGGTGATCTAGTTGATATGTAAATAACAAAAATTTCCTACAGACTAAGTACATACCATTTTTTCGGAACTTCGCGCCTCATGTGTAAAATCAAATTCGTTTCCTATCAGCCCTTGAGCCAAGGACTGCGCCAGCAAGTTGGATTTTGGAATGACGTGACCATAGCTGAATGTCTCTAGTCGTTCTGGGGGCAGATACGAAAACAAATGATTCACATAATCTGACATCTGTTGCAAGAATTAGAGAGCTACAATGTTAGAAGATGAGTTCTACTTACAGGAGACATAGTACCTCCAGCTAGAATGACGGCCCTGGCATCTTCAGCAATTTCACGAAAGTGATTTGTAGGGTCAAGAAGCATGTATTTCAACAAAACATCGTCTTGGCTTTTCTGAAAGAAGAGCCTTCCCTCTTCCGAAGGATTCATAAGAGGAAGAAGAAAGCTTTGAATATGAAACAAAACCGGCATTGTTGTCTTATCTTTGGGTCGACCAGCTTGTGGCTGTTGCGAGGATTCAAGATAGCCATCAACTTTCCGGGCCAGCTTGCTCTCTTGCAGATATTTAGAGAGCTTATACGGGTTGATCTGGTCAACTCCCTTTCCAGCCATGAGATCTGCCGTTTGCACTGAGCCTTCCAATTGTCCTTTCTGCCGAGAGATTGATTTCGCATGCTCCGCAATGGAGCTTACCAACCGGATGACTTGCGCAACATAGTTCCTATTCTTTCCCTTTAATCTGTTCTTGAACTTGCGGGCGTATGTTGTCAGCTGCCCGATGGCAGTTTGGAGTTGACTTAGTGAGATTGTCACTGAATGAATGCCAGCTATTGCATCCATGAGATTGTGGGCTTCATCGATGATGACAATATGACCTTTGACGGACAGATTGAGGGCCTCACGAGCTGATCGTTGTAGCAACAAGGGATATGGAAGTGTGACGATCTAGGATTAGGTTAGAGTCGACATTACACCTATCCTTGGGTGAAACTGACCTCGCTGTGTTTGATAACTGGACGAGATGCATAGTAGGGACATATTCCGAGCTTTTCCCCAACCTGGACAATGTCTTCAATGTCCTTTACTGTCGCTAAAGTATGGTCCCTAAATTCAAGAGCCAAAGCTCTGTCTTCTTTGGAGGGAATAAAGGAGCACTTCTTGTCTGCTGCTGCACCCGCTTGCTGTAAGTCCAAACACTTCTCGTTAATTGCGGTGTTGTTCCCCAAGGCCCGGACTTTAGGGTTGATGCACAGGTTCTTTCTGGACCCTAGCGAGAGATGTTTCACACGCTCTTCCAGTTTAAAGAGGTCATCTTTGCTCTCTGGGCCGAGATCGCTAGGTATACTAGATGGAAAGGTGACTCGTCGCAATTCACCGGCAAACTGGCTTAGTTGTGAGTGTGTTCTCGAGCAAAAAAATATCTTGATCTCATCATCTCCGTCATCCTCTTCGTCTTTCTTTTGTGTGGAGTATTTCCCTTGAAACCGTTCTAGCAAGGCTAAAGTGCTTGCAGACAAGCTGTCGGAATCCCTAGAGTTATTCTGCATTTTCTGGTTGTCTGTGTCACTATCATAGTCATCGAGAACAAATCGATCCTCATCGTTGACAAGTTCGAGTGTTGGTTCGTCAAGTCGCTATTTTCTAGTTGGTACAACGGGCCTTTCATCAAGCAGAGAATATATACGTACCTGCTTTTTACGGGGTCGGTCTGAGATGTACTGGACTTGTTTCAAATGTTCCTCTTCCTGTCGAATCTTGGCCAGTCGGGCCTCAAATTCTTGTCTCCTTTCGGTAATCGCACGCCTGGATTTCCGTTTGGCATGTTCTATCATCCACTCGGGCTCATCATCATCATCGTCTAGAAGGTCAGACAGCTGATACATATATAGCTCATATGTTTCACAATGAGACCCACATGTTGCATCGACGGTTTCCTGGAAGGCCTTTCGCTTGTGATCTCGAAGCCAGGTCAAAGAACCACAGATTAAGCTTAGAGATTTTCCAGTACCTGTATAATATGTTAGTAAAATTAAAATAATATTTTGAAAAGAACACATTTACCAGTAGGGGATTCAAATACGGCGATCTTGCTATCTTCTAGACAGGTATACAAGGCCTGCATAAATTGTAATTGAATATCATATGGCGTATATGGATGGTGGAAATCCATAGTGGAGGTAGATCCAGTAAGAAAGGAGAATAAGGAAGAAAGATAAAAATAAAATAGAGTACCCGAAAAAAGAGGCAGAAAAACATTTTGAAAAGGGGAAATAATTTGCGGGTTTTTGCAATTTCAATTACAATTACGGAGTACGGAGTACAAACATCACATATGTACCAGTGACATTTTTAAAATATGGTTGTTCTATATAACTTTATGTATTTTGTATATTTCATATGTATGTATGTACTTATTATATGTATTATGATTGATATGATATGTATTAGGTTGTCTCACATCTACAAAGTACATAGTATGAGGCTGAGTCGATATATACTACACCATAATATGATTTTCCATGTACTCTGTACTCCGTACAATACAACATATACATATGTAGCTTAAAAGGTCGGCTCTATTAACTATACTCCATACTCCGTATATATTTACTGTTTCAACCTTTATTTCGAACTATTACTATTAATACC